TAATATATCATGAACAATAAAGATTATCTCAGGAATGCAGGGCTAGTTTAAGCTTCAAAAATCACTTATTGTAATTTACCATATTAACAGACTCACACTAAGAAAGCTTATTACATGAATAAATGCAGAAAAAGAACTTGACAAAATACAACATCTAGTACTGACACCCCACACACTCCAATAAGCAAATCTTAAACTAGGAATTTGGAGGAAACTTTCTCCCCCTGATGAAAGGTATCTATGAAATACCTACAACTGACATCATGTTCCATAACAAAAGACTGAATGTTTCTCCTCTGAGATTAGGAACAAGACAGAATGTCATTCAACACAATCATAATCCCATCAGATTTTCTTGTAGAAATTGACACACTGATTCTAAAATTCATATAGAAATTCAGAGGACCTAGAATAGAATAGCTAAGTAACTGCAAAAAAGAACAGTTGGAGGGCTAACATTACCTGATTGCAATTATAAAGCATTTTATAGCATTTATAATAAAGCTATAAAATCAAAACATTTTGATATTGATACAAAGATACAAAAATAGATCGGTGGAACAGACTTGAATCCAGAAATAAATGCACATATATACACAACTAATTGACAAAGATGCATAGTTACTGCAGTAGAGAAAATGGAGCAATTGGCTATCCATATATTTAAAAAATTGAACTTGAAGCCATACACAACTTCATATACAAAATTTAACTCAAAGTGGATCATAGGCCTAAATGCAAAACTTAAAACTATGAAACTGCTAGAAGGAAGCATTGGAGAAATACTGTGACCTTTCTTAGATACAATACCAGAAGCATGATTCAAAAAGGAAAATTTGATAATTGATTTTATCAAAATTTAAAACTTCTCTTCAGAAGATACTGTTTTGATAATTGATTTTATCAAAATTTAAAACTTCCCTTCAGAAGAAACAAGGAACAGATTGGGAGAGTATCATTGCCAAGCATATATCTGATAAAGTTCCTATATCCATAATATAGAAAGAACTCTCAAAACTCAACAATAAGAAAACATATGAACTAGTTGTTTTTGTTTTAATGGACAAAAACTTTGAACAGAAACTTCACCCAAAGATAGACAGATAGCAAATACATGCATTAGTTGCTAAGGAATGCATCATTAGTCACTAAGGAAAATGCATATTAAAATGCATCATTAGTCACTAAGAAAAATGCATATTAAAACCACAATAAGGGCCCAGCACAGTGGGTCATACCTGTAGTCCCAACACTTTGGGAGGCCAAGGTGGGAGGATTGCTGCAGCCTAGCAGTTTGAGATCAGCCTGGGCAACAACCCCATTTTCTTAATACAAATTTAAAATTTTTCAAAAAAACCCCAGTAAGATACTTCATATCTGTTAGAATTTTTTAAATGGAACATTCCAAATGTTAGCAAGCATGTGGCAGAATCATCTCTTGTTGGAATGTAAAATAGTACAACTACTTTGGAAGACAGTTTGACAGTTTCTTTAAAAATTAAACATATGTCTATTATATGATTCAGCCATTCCACTCCTAGGTATTTACCCCAGAGAAAAATAATGCATGTCCATACAGACACTTATACATGAATGCTCATGACAAAAAACTAGAACCATGGAGTACTATTCAGCATGTATGAAGGAATAAATTGATACTCTAAACAACATGTTTGAATCTCTGGCTGGACATGGTGGCTCATGCATGTAATTACAGCACTTTGAGAAGCTGAGGCAGGTGGATCACTTGAGCCCAGGAATTTGAGGCTGCTGTGAGTAGTGATGGCATTACTGCACTCTAGCCTGGGTGACAGAGTGAGACCCTGTCTCAAAACAATTTGAAAAAGAAAAAGGAAAAAAAAAAAAAACACACACATGGATGAATCTCAAAATAATTATGCTAAATGAAAGAAGCCAGATAGAGTAGAATATATTCTTTATAATTCCTTTTATGTAAACTCTAAAAATATAAACTAATCTATAGTAGCATTAAAGAGATAAGTAGTTGCTTCGGGATAAGTGGATGTGAAGGATGAGGATAAGGGTTTACAAAAGGGCACAAGGAAACTTGGTAGTGATGAATGTTCATTATCTTGATTGTGATGATGGTTTCACAGATGTATGTGTTTTTCAAAACTTAGCAGACTGTACCCTTTCAATATTTGTCATTTAGTGTATGTTATTTTTACCTCAATAAAGCTGTATTTTTTTTAATTGTTTTGACCTAAATGCTTAAAAAAAATTTAGGGGTCCTGAGCTTTTAAAAATAATCAGCCTGGCCACCAATAAAACATGGCAAATGAATCTTCTGAGTGAAATCAATCATATTAGCAACTCCTGCCTTAGTCAAGCACCAGAACTGAATTGAAGAGAGGCAGAACCACAACTGAAAACTTTTTCCTGTGAGCAGAGATAGAATGGAGACAGAAGCATGCCTCCTTTCCAACAAATAGAAAGTCAGTTCCTAAGCTCTGTAGAAAGGACTATATTGCTTTTAACAATTTTAATCATTTACAAATTTCATCACCTTTATAACAATTAAATACCAAAGTCCCCACATCCCAAGAAATTCTGATACAGTAAGTTTTGTGTGGTCTCGTGTATCTATATTTTAAAAAATTATTTATTTTCAGTGTGGTAAAATAGATAAAATGTGAAAATTACCATTTTAACTATGTTTAAATGTACAGTTTGGTGGCATTAAGTACATTCATATTGTTTGTGCAACCATCACTGCCATCCATCTTCAGAACTTTTTTAATCTTGCATAATTGAAACCCTGCATCCATTGAACACTACCTCACCATTCTGCCACAACCCAGCTCCTGGCAACCACCATTCTATTTTCTATCTCTATGAATTTGCCTACCCTAAGTACTTCATGAGAGGAATCATACTTGGTTGTTTCACTTGGTATAATGTCTTCAAGGTTCATATTTTAGCATTTGTCAGAATTTCCTACTTTTTAAAGGCTGAATAATAATTCCATTATATATACTACATTTTGATTATCCATTAATCTGTCAGTGAAAACTTGGGTTTCTTCCACCCTTTGGATATTGTAAATAATGCTACTATGAGCATGTATGTACAAATATCTGTATCCTTGTTATTGATTTTGGATTTGTATCCAGAAATGAAAATGCTAGATTGTACGCTAATTATTTTTTTTAATTTTTGAGGAACTGCCGTACTGTATTCTACAGTGGCTATACCATTTTGCATTTCCATCAGCAGTCTCACACAGGGTTCCAATTTGTCCACATCCTTTTCAACATTAGTTATTTTCATGGTAGTTGTTGTTTTTGATAGTAGCTAATAGATATGAGGTTGTATCTTATGGTTTGAACTTGCATTTTCTCTGGTTAGTGATTTTGAGCATCTTTCCATTTGTTTATGGCCTTTATCTTTTTTGCAGAAATGTCTATTTAAGTCTTTTAATTTTTTTTCCACAGGGTTATATTTTGTTCATTTTTCAATTAGGTTTTTTGTTGTTTTAGGAGTTCTTTATATACTATGGAGATTAATCCCTTATCAGATATATGATTTGCAAATATTTTATGCCATTCTGTGGACTGCCAGTTTATTTTGTTAATAGTAGTCTTTGGCACACAAAAGTTTTTAATTTTGGTGCAGTTCATTTTTCTGTTTTTTGTTTGTTTACTGTGCTTTGGTGTCATATGAAGAAATCATCACCAAAACCAATGTCATGATGCTCTTCCTGTGTTTTCTTCTAGGAGTTTTACAGTTTTAGCTGTTTTGTTTCAGTCTTTGATCTCTCTTTTTTTAATACACTATATGTAGTTCTGATGCAAGCTCCTGTTTTTCTTTTTTTTTTAAGTGCTTCTTTAGCCATAGTCTAGTGCAGCGGTTTAAGATCCTGTGTCTGAGAAGTAAGGTTTTAGTGGAACAGGGTTGTTTCAAGGATCACCAACAGGAATATCTGAGAAAGTTGTGGTGTCAGAATCTTTATCAGCTCCAAAGTTAAGGTTATTTCATCCTTGCCCAAACTAATTAGTTAAATTCCTCTTAAATTAGCTGGCTAGCCAAAAGAATATGGTCCTTTGGATGATTTTATCCCTTGTTCTGTGAATCCAGAAGCAATTATAACATATGACTTCAATAAGTTGGAGAATAAGAATAGGATAAGAAGTAAGACAGTCTTTCAGATGGGATCTAAAACAAAGGAATTGGCTTTGTTACACTTGTTCCAGCCAAGTGTCTTTTATTTTGTTTTTTTATTTTTTGAGACAGAGTCTTGCTCTGTCACCCATGCTGGCGTGCAATGGTGAGATTATTGACTCACTGCAACCTCCATCTCCCGGGTTCAGGTAATTCTTCCACCTTAGCCTCCCAAGTAGCTGGGATTACAGGCACCTGCCATCATGCCTGGCTGATTTTTGTAGAGACAGGATTTCACTATGTTGGCCAGGCTGGTCTTGAACTCCTGACCTCAGGTAATCCACCCAGCTTGGCCTCCCAAACTGCTGGGATTAAATGCATGAGCCAACACACCTGGCTCCAGGCCAGTCTTTACCAAAGCATTTGTAATTTTTCACTGTAATCTCTCAATCTTATCTCTTCTCCCATAATTCCACAGTGTTTGAGAAAGTAAAGTATGGGTGCATACAAAACAAAACAAAAAAAAACTTCTCCACCATTATTTTTTTTTTATTGCATTTTAGGTTTTGGGGTACATGTGATGAACATGCAAGATTGTTGCATAGGTACACACATGGCAGTGTGCTTTGCTGCCTTCCGTCCCCTCACCTGTATCTGTCATTTCTCCCCATGCTTTCTCTTCCTCCACCATTATTTTTTATCTAAAACTTTGAAGAGACTATTTAATACTTGTACAGGAATACAAGGTAGACATCGATCATGAGATTCAATTGATAAAATGAAAGACAGCTAAGCATTCTAAAATCTCTACTAAGTGGTTGGGTACTTTGATAACCTATGTCCTGTCTGTGACAAGTTTTTCTGTCCTGTGTTTCCAGGGCTCTCCAATGCCAGATGTGGTCAGTAGGGAGCTCCATGCCCAAGCTCAAGAACGACTGCAACACTATTTTATGGGCAGGGCCCTAGAAGAGCGAGCCCAGCAGCACAGAGAAGCTCTTATGGCACAAATCAGCACCAACGTTGAACAGCTAATGAGTATGTGCTTATTTTACTTTTGTTCTTGAAAAAGAACAACTTATGCAAGGTTTGTGACATCCAAAACCTTCAGAAGAGAACAATTAGTAAGCATCTTTAGCTCATCCTCTAACCTCAGGAAATTTCTACATAGACCAGCAAACAGTGTTTTCAAATGATGCCAATTTTATAACCTCCTTCTTGCCTGCATCCCCAGGCCTTGCCATCATTCATATGTATCAGGACAAAGTTATTAATTTCAGATGCTGAGCCCTATTTACTATGTAATCTGAAAAGCTTTTCATCATATTTTAGAAGTAGATGACGACAATAGTTACAGTGCCATTCACTTGTAGAGCATTTTATAAGTTTTTTTTTTCTCAGATGGAGTTTCGATGTGTTGCCAGGCTGGAGTGCAGTGGCACGATCTTGGCTCAGTGCAACCTCCACCTCCCATGTTCAAGCGATTCTCCTGCCTCAGCCTCCCAAGTAACTGGGACTACATGTAGTAGGCGTGTGCCACCATGCCTAGCTAATTTTGTATTGTTAGTAGATATGAGTTTCACCATGTTGGCCAAGATGGTCTCGATCTCTTGACCTCGTGATCCACCTGCCTCAGCCTCCCAAAGTGCTGGGATTACAGCTGTGAGCAACCATGCCTGACCTATAATTTTTAATGAGGTACTTTTACAAAAATTAATTTATCTGTGTCTGACAACCACTGATCCATTTAATGAGAGACCCCATCCATGAAGCCCCTGTGTTTCAGTCAGCCTCTTGGATTTCTTTAGTGTATGTGGGCAGGAAGGACCACTGTTTTCTGTTTAATGGCCACTACTTATGAATTGTATATTTTTTAATTAGATAAATGGCTGAAACTGAGCCTCTTATCTATAGACTGAGGTTCTACTATTAAAGCTTCTGTTCTTAAAATAAACCATCTTACAAAAATCTACATCTTATTTTATAACACAGAAATGGCCAGGCGCTATGGCTCATGCCTGTAATCCCAACATTTTAAGAGGCCAAGGCAGGTGAATCATCTGAGGTTAGGAGTTTGAAACCAGCCTGGCCAACATGGTGAATCCCTGTCTCTACTAAAAATACAAAATTAGCTGGGCATGGTGGCACACACCTGTAATCCGAGCTACTCAGGAGGCGGAGGCAGAAGAATCGCTCAAACCCTGGAGGCAGAGGTTGCAGTGAGCCAAGATCATGCCACTGTACTCCAGCCTGGGCAACAAAAGCAAAACTCTGTCCCAAAACAAGCAAACAAACAAACAAAACCAGAAATGAGCCGAATATGGTGACTCACGGACATAATCCCAACACTTTGGGAAGCTGAGGCAAAGAACTGCTTGAGTCCAGGGGTTTGAGACCAGCCTGGGCAGCAGAGTGAGATCCCATTTCTACAAAAAAGAAAAAGCATTACCTGGGTATGGTGGCATAGTCCCAACTACTTAGGAAACTGTGGTGGGAGAATCACTTCAGCCCAGGAGGTTGAGGCTACAGTGAACTGTGATCATGCTACTGTACTCCAACTTAGGCAACAGAACGAGACCCTGTCTCAGAAAAAAAAAAAAAAAAGCAAAAAACACAAAAGTAGCCGGGGATGGTGATATTGCCACCAGCCACAGCTATAACTTTTCAATAGTCAAAAAGCATCCACAGGTAGCAGTGGTGATAGATTCAGAGTTGGAATGCTGTTTCTGCCTCCTATAGCAGAGTTACAGTTCTGTAGCTTCCAAGTTTCTACCTGCTTGGCCTAGGACTCTTTGGCTCATCTGTTTATTTTCTGTCTACTACAGAGGCACCAAGTCTGAAGGAGACAGAAGGGAAAGAACCTGAGCTCTTCCTAAGTAGATCCAGGCCTGTGGCAGCAAAGGCCAAGCAGGCCCATCTCACTACCCTGAAGCACATACAAGCACCCTGGTGGAAGAAGCTTGGGGAAGAATCTGGAGATGAGACTGATGTTCTAAAGGATGAGCTTAGTGTAGAATTAGAAACTTTATTCATTGGCGGAACCAAACCACCTTAGTGAGTTATCCTAAGAATGACAAAAATCTCGTATTTTAGAAGATTACATTGGTTCTGCCTCTGACATGGTGGTAGACTAGGGCCATCGTAACTTATTGTTTTCCAGAGGTTCTTCTCCAGACAAGACTTGCAAAGGGTTATATTCTACCTCTCTCTGAATTTTCTTTTTCTTTTCTCTGTCATTCTTGGCCACACATACAGATTTCTGTGGATTTTATTATAGAACTAAACTTGCATAGTGTTCTGTTGTTTACATGAAGTATGAGTTTTCTTTTGTTTCTGCTGTTTTCCAAGTAAAGGTTTTTTTTTCTAACTAAATATTTTCAATAATTGATTTGAAAAATTTGTCAGGATTATTTCAACTTTTCATATTTATTATCTGAAATTCCTATTTCCTATTAATGTGCAGACTTTATTAATGTGAGGAAAAGAAATGCTAAATTGATGGAAATTTCCCTATCTTCTATAAAACAGTGGTTGAACTCATTTTCTATTTTGTTATTTCTAAAAGGAACTACATACAAAAAATGTATTCTTTCTATTGAACTATGAGAACTATATGATGTACTGTTTCCCTTTTTGTCCTTTCTCCTGGGAATCTCAGAGCTAAATATAATGTTTAATTTTTGTTATAATCCTAGGTACCTTTCTGATTATTTAGTTCTAACCTAATAATTTTTAATTTCCCTGTTTACCTTTAAATATGTTTCAATACCAGAAGCCACTTCAATTTGTGTTTAAAACAATATGGAATTAAGTTAAAATCAGTTAACAAATCATGACTCCATATCATAAAGAATCTGGAAGATACTCTCTGTAAAAATGAGTGAAAATACCAGTATTTCTGGATGTGAATACCAAATTGTATAATGTTGTACAATCTCCAAAGTTGACTTTAGTAAAATTCTATTCAAAACTCCTATATTTGTATACATAATTGAAGAAGAAATATAGAAAAATTATGTGTGTTGTCCCCAATTTAGCAAACAAAATGCCAGATAATCTAGAACAATAATTTTTCTTCAGCCCATTAGATAGCTGAAGACTCAAGCCAACTAGGATAGGATTCTATATCTGTGAAATGAAGTATTTCATCTATATTAGAGCACAAGAGAAAAGTGGCTAGGTAAGAAGAAATCGAAAAAAATTTTAGCAAATTCTTAAAGGCCAGGTGTGGGCTAGCAAGCCTGTTTAGAATATCTGAGAGCCTCAGACATAAGAAGTTGGTCCTCTACCAAATGCTCGCAAGAAAGGTTGAGAGTTAGGGCCAGGCACAGTGCCTTGCTCCTGTAATCGCAACACTTTGGGAAGCCAAGGCAGGTGGATCACTTGAGCTCAGGTGTTCGAGGCCAGCCTGACCAACATGGTGAAACCCCACCTCTACTAAAAATACAAAAATTAGCTGGACATGGTGGCATGCACCTTTAGTCACAGCTACTCAGCAGGCTGAGGCAGGAAGATCACTCAAGTCCAGAAGGCAGAGGTTGCAGTGGGCTTAGACTATACCACTGTACTGCAGCTAGGTCAACAGAGTGAGACCCTGTCTCAAAACAAAACAAAAGATTGGAAGCAAGGCAAGAGACATGAAGAGACCTTTGTGGTACAGGTAAGCATGAAGTGATAGCCTGCTACTGGGTGACATAGGCAAAGTTCCCACTTCCCCTTTAGCCTTAAGCTGCTACAGCAGGGCAGTGAGCTCTTACCTCTAAGGCTCAGGCAAAATTCCATTGCATGTAAGGAAGGAATGAAGGAATTATAGGAAACACTAGTCCCGGATGCAAGCAGAAATCCAATGTTGCTGAGGTAGAGGTAAAAACAAAAACAATTCATCACCTGGGGAAGGAAAAGGAATCAGCTTGGGCCCCAAAACCCTTAGTGGAACACTCCACAAAAGTGCCTATAAAGCATATCTGAAATGTCAGTTTAATATGTAATTTGAGTTCCAGTGGCGTCTTTGTGCTGGTATATTAGCCCATTAAATAGATCTGTGTCCTGAGGAAACTCTATAGTACTTGAGAGTTTCCCAAAGAGAGTCCTGCCACCTATCTCCTAAGATACATGATAATAACATTCCTAAACTTGATAGACTGGAGAAGTCCCCCTAATACAGCTTGCTTTCAAGAGTGTGATTCTTTCTGAGACCCTGAATCAAGAATAAGCCACACCAGTGTTTGGCACAGGTCTCTGCTTAGTTAAGTACATGTTGAATGAATGCTGAGTAACAGCTTTCTGGTCATACTCCCAGGAATTTTGTTTTGAGATTCCTTATACACCTTGCTCTAGGTGCTCCAGGATGAGAATTCTTCATTCGACTTCTTCATTTATTGCTCCTCATATGACTTCATTTATTATAAATGCTCAGTAATGATACATAGAGTAATAGTGCCTGAGTTCTTATGGAATGAATGCTGCTGCTGGTTCTCCATAGTTCTATCCCCTTTGAAAAGTGGAAATGGTATATGGATCCAAGCATAGAAACCCAGCCCACCTATCTGGGCCTTCCCTGACACATTGCCGATCATGGATGGATTTCAGAGTTTCATTCCTGGCTCCTTAAGCTCCATAAGGGACCCAGGATCTGCTGATTCTATCGGGGAAGACTTGGAGTTAGCAGATGCCATGAACCTTGAACCTAGCCAACTCTAGGCCCTTTAGTGAAATAGCTCTCACATCTCCAGCTCCTGTAGACATGGAATTTTAACAGGGATTTCTTCATCTACCAGAAAAGGAGCTCCCAGCCAGAAACCATGCTTGGGAGGCAATCCTTGACATTGTTCATGCAACAATGGCTGGCTCCTTTAGCTCTCCTCCCAATATGCCAGCGTTCCTGCTCAACTCTCTCAACTTTTGGGTAAACTATAGTGCTGCTTGAGGATGCTCAGTGAGAGCTGAAAGACAAGCACTGAGGCCTAATACCAAGGCAGGAACAGGAATCTCAGATGCCTCTTAGAAACCTGGAACCGCAACATCTATTAATTCTACATCTTCAGACTTTCTAAGGCTCAACCTACCATGCTGACTCCTCATTCCAAAGTTAATCAAGCAGGAGGCAAGGAAGCACCTTGCCTGCAGCTCCACAGACAGAACAGACCCCGAATTTCAATCACCTCCATCTCAGAAATGGACTACATACAGGGACCTGTAGAGACCAAAGGCCTAGATCTGGGCAGGAAAATACACATCAAGGGCTTCTGCACATTCTAAGTTTTTAGAAGTTCAAGAGGATGAAACAAAAATAATCGGACCTTGCCTCAGTTTCCCTAAAGTTGGCCAAGTTCTCTACAAGTCTAGTGCCTAATTAGGAGAGCCAACGTTCCAGGAAGAAAGTCAGGAGAACAAAAACCCAAATTCCCCTAGAAAGCCTCCTCTGGCATCTGTTTCTAGGAGTCAACTGGCATGAGGGATGGCTATCAAATGTGACATGAAGACAAAGGTCTGAAATCTTCCTAATATCACATTGGCTTGCTTTGAACACCATAACAGAGCCCACACAATTCACAGAGCAGCAGTTCCTCTGTTGTGAGCACTAATGGACCCAGTCCATATCCGCTGCAGCTTCATTCTGCAGGTAGACCTGGTCAAGAAGAGGGTACCAGAGACTGACCGGGTATCTCTACATTTTCCAGAGGAGATACCCATGATTCACAAAACTTTTCTTTTGAAGTGCCACCATCATGCTGCCTATGTGCTTAAAGCACCTGACTTTTCCAACTTCACAGCCTGTTTCCAAAAAATGAAGGATGGAATCATTAGTTCGACTCTGGACCTGATTAGAAAGAAATAGAGAATTGAAACAGCAAATAGTGCCAGGTTCTGTGGGAGAATGCTTTGCTAAATGGTTCCATCACCTACTTTTGGAGGCCCTTTTGTTGGCTGTAGATTTTCCCTATTGTGTGACAGGAATTTTATATATATACTTTAAGTTCTGGGGTACATGTGCAAATCTAGCAGGATTGTGACATAGGTATACACATGCAATAGTGGTTTGCTGCCTTCATCCCCCCATCACCTATATTAGGTATTTCTCCTAATGTTATCCATCCCCAATCTTCCCACTCCTGCTATTCCTCCCCTAGTCCCCACTCCTTAACAGACCCCAGTGTGTAATGTTCCCCTCCATGTGTCCATGTGTTCTCATTATTTAACACTCCTTATGAGTGAGAACATGCACTGTTTGGTTTTCTGTTCTGGTGTCAGTTTGCTGAAAATGATGGTTTCCAGATTGATGCATATCCCTGCAAAAGACATGAATTCATCCTTTCTTATAGCTGCATAGTATTCCATGATGTATATGTGCCACATTTTCTTTATGCAGTCTATCATTGATGGGCATTTGGGTTGGTTCCAGGTCTTTGCTATTGTAAACGGTGCCACAGTGAACATACATATGCATGTGACTTTATAATGGAATGATTTATAATCCTTTGGGTATATACCCGGCTATGGGATTACCGGGTAAAATGGATTTCTATTTCTATATCCTTGAGGAATCGCCACACTGTCTTCCACAATGGTTGAACTAATTTACACTCCCACTAACAGTGTAAAAGTGTTCCTATTTCTCCATTTCCTCTCCAGCATCTGTTGTCTCCAGATTTTTTAATGATTGGCATTCAAACTGATGTGAGATGGTATCGCAAGGTGGTTTTGATTTCCATTTCTCTAATGACCAGTGATGAGCATTTTTTAATATGTTGGCCTCATAAATGTCTTCTTTTGAAACGTGTCTCTTCACATCCTTTGCCCACTTTTTGATGGGGTGGTTGTTTTTCTTATAAATTTGTTTTAGTTCTTTGTAGATTCTGGATATTAGCCCATTGTCAGATGGGTAGCTTGCAAAATTGTTTTCCGATTCTGTTGGTTGCCAGATCACTCTATTGATTGTTTCTTTTGCTCTGCAGAAGCTCTTAAGTTTAATTAGATCCCATTTGTCTACTTTGACTTCTATTACCATTGCTTTTGGTGCTTTAGTCATGAAGTCCTTGCCTATGCCTATGTCCTGAATGGTATGGCCTAGGTTTTCTTCTAGAGTCTTTATGGTGTTAGGTCTTACGTTTAAATCTTTAATCCGTCTGGAGTTAATTCTTGTATAAGGTTTAGGGAAGGGGTCCAGTTTCAGCTTTTTGCACATGGCTAGCCAGTTTTCCAAACACCATTTATTAAACAGGGAATCCGTTCCCCATTGCATTTTTTTTGTCAGATTTGTCAAAGATCAGATGGTTGTAGATGTGTGGCATTACTTCCGAGGACTCTGTTCTGTTCCATTGGTCTATATCTCTGTTTGGTACCAGTTATTAGGATTGTCTTGGCTATGTGGGCTCTTTTTTGGTTCCATATTAAGTTTAAGGTGATTTTTTCCATTTCTGCGAAGAAGGTCAATGGTAGCTTGATGGGGATAGCATTGAATTTATGAATTACTTTGGGTAGTATGGCCATTTTCACGATATTGATTCTTCCTAACCTTGAGCATGGAATATTTTTCCATCTGTTTGTGTCCTCTTATTTCCTTGAGCAGTGCTTTGTAGTTGTCCTTGAAGAGATCCTTCATGTCCTTTGTTACTTATATTGCTAGGTATTTTATTCTCTGTGTAGCAGTTGTGAATAGGAGTTCACTCATGTTTTGGCTCTCTGTTATTGGCATATATGAATGCTTGTGATTTTTGTACACTGATACAAATTTTTCTTTATCCCTGATAAGTGCCTTAAAATAAACTTGAGTTTTCTCAATTTTGAGCAAGTCTCTCAAGGGACTTCTCAGTTGAGGCTGTGCCAGAATTCAGTAAACCACCCAAATAGGTCTTAGCTTGTTTAGAATCATAATACTGAAGCTGAGTCATTCTGAACTTGCTTCGATTAGAGGTATTTGAGGAAATATCTATTCTGGAAATATGCTCCCTTAAGACAAGCTCAAACCATCAAAATGGACCTTAAAATTATGAAAAGAGGGACAAATAGCCTAGTTCCTTTGCATACACCATTCCTCTACATTTGATGCACTTCCTGCCACATCTGCTCTGCCCCAACCCACCCCCACCCCCATATGTTCACCCTCTTCCAAAACATTACTCCAAAGTAATTTCTAGGGGGCAATTCTTTTAAGCACATCAATACTCTAATTCTTTGGTCTGTAATGCCTTGAGCTTCTGTACTGTGTGTTTTTCTTATGAACTTACCTGTATACGGCTTAGAAGTTATTTTAAGGCAGTGTGTGTGTGTCTGTGTGTGTGTGTGTGTGTCTCTGTGTGTCTGTGTGTATACATATATATGCATACATATAATATCTATAATTGGATTGCAAACATCTTAAAAATAAAAACATTTTCTTTATTATGTCCAATAGAGAATTACTTATGTGTCCTCTACTCTGTAAAGGTACTTCAACAGTGGCTGACCAATGAACTGCTTTCCCCATTTTCAGAGACAATTCACTGAGGAATTAGTTGTCACCTTGCTTCCAGTAGCTATAGTCCTAATGCTGCCACTAAGTAGCTGTCAGAACCGTCTGACTCGCAAAATGCTGAGCTTGCTGCCCTGGACAATAATAATTCCTCTTTGGAGCATTCCCATTGCAAATCAAAAAGAGGTAAGGAAGAAAAGATCACAGCAGATTCAAATGTCCTGAGAGGTAAAGTCACCCTGTGGGCAGTGAGCAGAACACCAGGCAGTGCAGTGTAGTGCTTACATGTCAGAATGTCTGAATAAAAATCCTGGCTCCACCACTTTACTGAGGATAAAGAGCATAATCAACATGTAAGGGATTGATGCCTAGCAGCATGAAGTTAACATTCCGTAAGTATCTATAAGTCTCTTAGTTTCTGGCAGGGCCACCAAATTGTGACATCTAATATGATGTCTGATATGAATTTGGGCATTTGAGTTCAATCAGGGGAAGTGTTACGGGGCTGTGGTGGTCCATAATCCAACTTTAAAGTGCCAACCTGGGTGTAGGAACAAAAATGTGCAGCTCTGCTAGAGATATCCAGCATGAGTGAGGTGCTGCTTGGTAAGTAAATCTCTGTGGCCCTCACTGAATACAGCTACATTGTCCCTGGTGAGGCAGGTGAACTCTGTTCAAAGGCAGTTATGATGACACCACAGACAACTGTCTATTTTGCAAGCATAAAACTAATCAATTCTACTGCAGGAAATGGAAATTAAAATAGAGATGAGTTCAGGGACACAGAGAAGGTTAAGGAGTTACAGAGAACATAAGGGTGGTCTCAGCACATGTAAGGCAATTTGGTTTCTATTCTCAAGAGACTGCAGTTTATTATCTCACCATAAGTCAATTCCTCCTACCCTACCTTTAGTTCTGAGCTCCAGGGCCCTCTAGCTAATCCATTATCTCCTCTTTTTCCCAAAAACTGCTTTGTAATTATGCTCTTTTATGGTTCAAATTTCCTCTCCAAAACTCTCCTGGCTGCCCCTGTTCCCAAGGGCCGTGGTTCCAATGACTCCTAGAAACAGATGCCACTGGCAAGTGCCTTACTTGAGCTTCTTCAATTTTGAACAAGTCTCTGAAGGGACAGATGTCCCTGTTGTGTTTAGGTATCCTGGACCCTGGTTGTGACCACTAATCAAGCTCTGATGGTTTTTTGTTTTTGTTTTTGTTTGTTTTTTTTTGTTTTTTTTTTTTTGTCAAAATTGAGCTTCTTCAATTTTGAACAAGTCTCTGAAGGGACAGATGTCCCTGTTGTGTTTTAGGTATCCTGGACCCTGGTTGTGACCACTAATCAAGCTCTGATGGTTTTTTGGTTTGTTTGTTTGTTTGTTTGTTTTGTCCCTAGTGGTGTTCTGGCACTTCAGAGAGACATGAGATTGAGCCCTACTGACATAACTTGGCACCTATGAAAGTCTGCCAGGAAGGAAAAATACAGCTGAAGACTGCTGCATCCATGCCCCAGGACGGGGGCCCTCAACTGCAGAAGGTGAACTCACCAGGTGAGCTGGGGGAGATGGAGCATTTCTCACTGAGCTCTGCCTGTCAGAACAGCTGCCACATTAGATTCTCAAAGGAGCAAGAACCCTACTATGAACTGTACACATGAAGACTCTAGGTTGCATGCTTCCTATGAGACGCTACTGCTTAATAATCTGAGGTGGAAGAATTTCATCCCGAAACCACCCCCAAACCCGCCACCTGCCCCTTCTGTCTTCCACAAAACCAGTGCCCTGGTGCCAAAAAGGTTGGGGAACACTACCCCAGCACATTAAGAAGCCCAGGCCAGAGGAGATCCAGGAACTTGCTCTTTCAGTCATCACCTCCCTGTCCCCTTCCTGAATGTCTGTTTTCTCTGTATTGCTGATAGCAATAATCTGTCCCCTCGTACAGCTTCCTGTCTAGCACCAGCCCCTACTCTTGTGGATAATCTACAGTACAAGCATGTGGATGGGGCTTAAAATCTAGTAGTCCTGCCAGTTACTTGGTTTCCCTGCCTTGAGGACCAAGGAATTCAGAAGAATGGTCTTTTTTAGGCTTGGACTATGTAGTGTTTGGTACACTCTGGATCCTTCTGGGAATTTTGCTCATGTAGGGAAATACAACAGATAAAGACCCAGGGCAGGACAAGTATACAGAGATATTTTCATACAAAATCCAAATTTCATAAATGAGGCTCATCTTCACCCCTCAAGAATCCTGATTAATGAGGATTTTTAATGTAATGACGGTATTTAAAACAACTTCTAGAGACCAGCTATGTGAGAGATATGTACATTATTAGGAAGCAGTGTCAGTTGTTGATGCAATCTGCAGAGAGACTTTTTTTTTTCTTTTTTTCTTTTTTTTTTTTTTTTATATAAAAAGACCTGAGTTGCCGGGCGCGGTGGCTCAAGCCTGTAATCCCAGCACTTTGGGAGGCCGAGGCGGGTGGATCACGAGGTCAAGAGATCAAGACCATCCTGGTCAACATGGTGAAACCCCGTCTCTACTAAAAATACTAAAAATTAGCTGGGCATGGTGGCATGTGCCTGTAATCCCAGCTACTCAGGAGGCTGAGGCAGGAGAATTGCCTGAACCCAGGAGGCGGAGGTTGCAGTGAGCCGAGATCGCGCCATTTCACTCCAGCCTGGGCAACAAGAGCGAAACTCCGACTCAAAAAAAAAAAAAAAAAAAAAAAAAAAAAAAAAAAAGACCTGAGTTAACTGGGAAACATTCCATCAGTTCCTATGCTCTGTAGAGATTGTATAGCATAGGAAATGTCTGTTCCTTGAAAGCTTGTCTTAGTCTGAGATACTTTAATAATACCATAGACTGGGTGTCATATAAACAACAAAAAATTTATTTCCCATAATTCTGGAGTTTGAGACGTCTAAGATGAAGGTAGATTTGGTGTTGCATGAGGGTTCACTTCATGACTCATAGACCTCATCTTCTCATTCATCATCACATGGCAAAAGAGACAGGGATCTAGGCTCATGCCTCTACTACTGGCACTTTGGGAGGCTGAGGCCAAGTGTATTGTCTGAACCCAAGAGTTCAAGACCAGCCTGGGCAACAGGCAAAATCCAATCTCTATGAAAAAAAACTCACAAAAATTACCTGTGCATGGTGGCCCACACCTGTAGTCTCATTTAGTCAGGAGGCTAAAGCGAAAAGATCACCTAAGCCCTTGAGGTTGAGGTTGCAGTGAGCCAAAATTATGCCACTGCACTCCAGCCCAAGTGACAAAATGAGACCTTGTTGCCCCCCTCCCACAAAAAGGGGGTGCACTCTAGGGTCTCTATTATATGGGCACTAATCTCATTCATGAGGTATCTACCTTCATGACCAAATTATCTCCCAAAGGGCCTACCACTTCATGCTATAAAACTGACAAGACATCAACATATGAATTTTGACATGCACACAAATTTTCAGTCTATACCAAAACCGTAAAAGCAATTGCCTAAAAAACTATCTTGATTGTGTGCTTTTCTGTGACTAACAACTTTTAAATGTGTTTTTCTAGAAGGTGACAAATTCCATTACTTTTTCTTGAGTCAAATTTGGAAATATGTGAATATACATACACTCCTTTATTTTTTGGCATAGTTTTAGTTGTACAGATACATTGAGCAGATACACAGAGTTTTATATACTCATATCATCCTCCTCCAACTTCCCACCTCTCAGCAGTTCCCCTGTTATTACCATGTTTATTACATTTGATGAACCAATATTGAGACATTATCATTAACTAAAGTCCACAGTTTACATTAAAGTTTACTCTTTCTGTTATACAGTTCCACGGGTTTGATAAATGCATACTGCCACATATCCACCATTACAGTATCAGTTTCTCTGCCTGAAATTATTCCCTCTGTTCTATATATTAATCCTTCTTTGCCCCTTCCAAACCTCACCCATGACATCCACTGATTTTCTTTTACTGTTTCTATAGTTTTACCTCTTTCAAAATGTCATATTGCTGGAATGCAGTATGTAGTCTTTTCATACTGGTTTCTTTCACTTAGCAATCTGCATTTAACGTTCCTCCATGTCTTATCATGGCTTGATTGCTCAATTCATTTTATCACTGAATAATACTCAGTTGTACGAATGTACCATAGTATAACCATTTATCTACTCAAGGGCATCTTGGTTGCTTTCAAGTTTTGGGAATTATGACTAAAGTTGCTATAAACATTCATGGGCAATTTTTTTTGTGGACATACATTTTCACTGATTTGGGTAAATATCTAGCAGCATGATTGCTAGATGGTATGGTCAATCTATGTTTAGCTATGTGAGAAACTGCTTAATTGTCTTCTAAAGTAGTTGTACTATGTTGCATTAGCACCAGGAATAAATGTGAGTTCCTATTGTTCTACATCCTTGCCAGCAGTTGATGATGTCTGAGTTTTGGATTTTTGCCATTCTAATATGTTTGTGGTAGTATCTGATTGTTGCTTTAATTCGCAATTCCCTAATAGGATATGATGTTGAACATCTTTTCATATATTTATTAACCATCTGTGTATCTTCTTTGGTGAGGTGTCTGTTCAGATCTTTCACCCAATTCTGAATATTTTAAATTTAAATTTCCTTTAGAAGACTTCCTTGTGTATTTTAGGTAACAGTCGTTTAATCAAATAGGTATTCTGCAAATATTTTCTCCCAGTCTGTGCCTTGTTTTTTTAATCTTAACAGTGCCTTTTGCAGAGCAGAAGTTTTTCGTAATCAAGTCCAACTTGCTAAGTTTACCCCCTCCCCATGGATTATGCTTTTGGTGTTGTATCCTCACCAAACTCAAAGTCACCTACAGTCTCAAGTTATCCAATAGATGTTCTATAGTTGTACATTTTACATTTACAATTTAAGAGCCATTTTAAGTTAATTTTTATAAAAGATATAAGGCGTGTGTCATTTTTTCCATGTGTATTTCCAGTTGTTCTAGCACCATATATTGAAGACTCTTTTCTCCATTAAATTGCCTTTCCCCCTTTTCAAATATCAGTGGTCTGTATTTTACATGGATCTATTTTGGGGCTCTCCATTCTATTCCATTTGTCTATTTGTCTATTCTTTTGCCAATACCATGCTGTCTTGTTTACTGTAGCTTTGTTGTAAATCTTGAAGTCTGGTAATATCAGTCCTCCAACTTCGTTATTGAATGTTCTATGGATTATTCTAGGTCTTTTACTTTTTCATTTAAAATTCAGAAGTAATTTATTGACATCCAAAAGATGACATCCTCAGATTTTGATTGAGATCTCATTGAATCTACAAATAAAGTTGGGAAGAATTGGCATTAGAACAATACTGACATTTTCTGGGAATATGGAATATTTCTCAATTTATTTAGATTTTAATTTCTTTATCAGAGGTTTGCTAGTTTACTTCATAGAGCCTGTACACATTTTGCTAGATTTATGCCTAAATATTTATTTTTTCATTATTTTTTGAGACTAATACAAATGGTATTGTGTTTTTAATTTCAAATTCCAATTGTTCTTTGCTGGCGTTAAGAAATAAATTGACCTTTTACCCTGTAGACTTGCTAAAATTGCTTATTAATTACAGGAGGTTTTTGTTTATTCTTAGGTATTTTTTACATAAAAATATTATCTACAAAGACAGATTTATTTCTTTCTACTATGAATGCCTTTTATTTTCCTTTCTTGTCTTACATTAGGTAAGAGGTTTACTATAATGTCACATAGGAGTAGTGAGAGAGGACATCCTTTCCTTGTTCCTGATCTTAGAGGGAAAGCATCTAGTTTCTCACCATCAAGAATCTGCAGATTTTTTCCATCGAGTTGGGTAAACACCCTTCTATTCTTAGTTTTCTGAGTATTTTTTTGTTAAATTATGAATGGGTGTTGCATTTCTTTTTCTTCTTCTAGCACCTTCCCTCTTCTTCTTTCCCCACCTTCTTTTTTTCAGTGCAATGGTGCAATCTTGGCTCACTGAAACCTGCAACCTCCACTTATCGGGTTCAAGCAATTCTCCTGGCTATGTTTCCAGAGCAGCTGGGATTACAGCTGCCTGCCACCATGCTGGACTAATTTTTGTATTTTTAGTACAGATGGGTTTTCACCACGCTGGCCAGGCTGGTCTCAAACTCCTGACCTCAGGCAATCCACCTGCCTTGGCCTCACAAAATGCTGGAATTACAGGTGTGAGCCACTGTACCTGGTGTTCCCCCATTATTTCCTCACCCTTCCACTTTCTCCACCTTCCTTCTTCTTTTTCCCCCACCTTCTTTCTTTATCTTCTCCCACCTTCACTTTTCTTCTTTCCCCAAGTCCCCTCTTTTTCTTTCCCCATCTTCTTTCTACTTTCCCCATCTCCCCTATTCTTTTCCCCCACCTTCTCTCTTTTCCATTTCCCACCTTCCCTCTTCTTCTTGCCTCACCCTCCCTCTTCTTGTTCCCCAAACTTCCCTCTTCTTTTTCTCCCACCATCCCTCTTCTTTCCTCTTTCCCTACTATCTCTCTTTTTCTATCCCCATCTTCCCTCTTCTTCTTTTCCACTTTCCTCACCTTCCATCTTCTTTCAGTCCCATCATCCTTCTTCTTTCCCACCTTCCCTCTACTTCTTGTGAAAATTTTCTTTATTGATTGATGTGATTACATTATTATGTATTTTTGCATATACTTCATGTCTAAAATTTATATTTATCAAGAAAATTTATTTCTCTAAGATTTTAAGATTTCTTCATATAAAATTATATGTTACATGTTTCATTTATTTAACAAACATTTATTGCACATACACTACGCTGAATATATTATTAGGTATGGAAGACACATTAATAAATAAAGCTGAATGAAAGTTTTGGAATAAGTTACATTTAGTATAGGGGAGGGTAAGAGGATAATGAGGATGAACTGAAAAAAAGGAGGGGAAATTGAACAATAGCAAACCAGAGAATGTGACATTTCTTGTCTTTCAACTTTTTCTCATAGTACTTTTGATTAGGGAAATGATCGCTCTACAAGGGACACCTGAATGACTCCAGACTTCTGTGATTTCTGCTGACTCTTACTGCTCTGGAGCTTACACTCATATCCTAACCCTTCAGCATGCAATGGCACAGTCTTATGACCAACTCTTTGCCTATCTGTTCAGCCATATTGTGACCAAATTGCAGACGACAGGCTCAGGTTGTTCCCCAAAAGGATGTGTTCTTCCAGGCCCTTGGTCACTCACTCACCCAAAAATAGGGGAGAGAACACCATCAGGCGCAGTGTACTCCTTTAACTAAATATTGGACCCCAAAAGGTTTCGCAGAAAATAATTTATTTAGGCAGAGAGAGAGAAAAAAAGGA